TGATCTCAGACTCGTCCAGGACTCTGAATTATGCTAGACCCCTGCACCATAGTAGGGCAGGGGCTCTGTATGTGAGCACTCTGCCAGCTGGTGCATGACTACACTCCTAATCAGTAGGAATATGGCAAAAGTCATCATAAGCACAAACATTTGAAACTGGAGAACCCCTGAGGTGAGGAAATCAAGGTAGAGCATGAAGCTGCAGGCTCTAACCAGTTCAGTCTTTCTCCAACAGGTATGTGCGCCAGGGTCTTTTGTCGTGTGTCTCCTCCATGCTCCTCAGTGTCCCTGCGGAGCATCTTCTAGAAGACATGACAGAAGAGCTGTTGGAGACTCAGTCCTGGCTGGGAGGTAAGATGTGGTGGTGTACCCCAGTGTTTTTCTGCTTAGTGGTGCAGTCTTTGTGCAGCATCTCTTCAGTTGTGATGGTAGCAGTAACGTCCTGGTGGTGTGCAGCAGAGATTTGCAGGATGAGCATATTTATCACTCGCTTGTAAGTTTAGGGCAAGTACCAGACCACACTGTGTGTTGTACAGACGGGTTACTGAGGTATCTAATGCATCAGCTGAGAGCTGCTAATGGCATTTCAAAGTGTGACTATCCTCACCTTACAGGCCAACCAAAAAAGTCCCAAAATGTAGTGTGTGTCCCCTTCCTCTGTTGAAGCATCCAACCGTACATCTTGTGAAGCTGCAGAAAGTATTGTCATATTGCATGTTGCATCCAGGCAGTGATTTTGACCAGCAGGAACATGAGGCTTGTATGGCCTGTTTATACCGTGTGCACAGAAGGTGGGCTTCATTAGTGCTAAAAATTGGAGAAGACCGTGACCCCATCTCTTACTTCACATTGCTGATGGAAAGAACAACCTATGAAAGACAGCAGATGACTTTGTGTGCTGCACCCAACTCACCTGGCATCAACACAAGCTCTTTTGTGGGTTCTGGTAGGCACACCTTGGTGCCCAGGTATCACGGTGTGCTGGGAGTGCAAGAGGAAATAACGCTGGGTGCTTCGTAGCTCTGAAGCCTCCACTGTATTCTGAGTGGACTTTGTGACTCCCTGGGTTGGTTGCCTTCACCTTTCTTGCTCTTGGTGGGTTGGCTTCTCCCAGGGAGCAGGCAGGAAGCAAGGCTGACACAGCTGGCCTCTGATCCTTGCAGGTTGTGCAGCTCTGTGCCCTTTAAAAGGAAGAGAGCGGCCGTGTGGGACCAAAAACTTTACTTTTCCCATGACATGGTGTGCTCTGAGGAATCTGTTGTCTCTGCAGTTAACCCTGCTGTTACCAAGTGAAGCCTTCCCAGGAATGCTATAACTGCATTTGCAGCATGAGGGTCTGCGTAATCTGTTTTTAATGAGTTATTTTTGGAAGGAGGACAATGACAGAGCTGGTAGCATCTTTTTATGCCTGTAGGTAGTGCAACAGCCATCTCTTTACATGCAGTGCTTTTGCATGAAAATTGTATGGTAAATCCTGCTGGGAATGAGAGCAGGGTAAGATCACAATTGTGTGTGTTGTGGAGAAGCAGAAATTTTTGTAGGAATACCTTAAAGAATACAACCCAGCTCCATATCTGGTCAGATAGGATTTAAGTGCAATTTAAAACTTGCACGTCCTTCTAGAGCTGCTTCCTGAAACACAGCAGCTTTTTGGGCAATGCCCTTGCTCTTTGTTTGAAGATGGTTGGCAAAACAGCTATCCCAGGGAGGCACCGGGCTGCTCCGACACGTGAAGTCAGTCACTGGAGACCTACTTTTGTGGCTGCATCATGGTTTTGAGCTAGCAGACGTGCTGTTGCTTCCTGGCGCTTCCAGACAAGATTTGCAGGAGGTGTCATGTGTTGGATCTACTGCTGCAGCTGGGAAAAACGACAAGCTGTTGAGCCTGCAAGCCCAAGAGCCAGGAGGAGTCACCCCTTCTTGGGTTTCAGCTTAAAGCATCTAATTTCTCTGGCTGTGGCTAAAGCACAATGAGGAACAGCGGGCTAGAAAATGTTATCCATGAGGCAATTAGTAGAAATCTACAAATCTTCTCCAGTTTGTCATGATAATACCCCAGCCTGTGCAGATTGCTCTGGTTCACCGTGTGAAGGTGGCTGGCTGTTCTTGCCCTTCGCCTGTGGGCTGCAACTAGAACTGCTCCCCATTAGAAAGTGTTCGCAGCCTGGGGTAAGGAACTGCTTCCTGCACTGTCTCAGTGCTGTCTGCTTTGTGGATACTTTGGGATGCTTCATTTGGAGAGAGGGGTCAGGATCCACCTTGTACATGTCTG